ACAGAGCAGCGATTCGAGCCGGCGCGCCTTCTCCGTCTACAGCAGCTCACGGGCACCCGGGCGCTACGCCCCCAGCTACACCCCCAGGTCAGCCCCGTCACCCAGACCACCTCTCAGCCACCCCCTGGGCCTTTCCTGGTCACCCCCAGGGCTGTCCTGTCCCCCCTGTGCTCCCTGTGTCACCCCTGTGGTAACCACTACATCTTCCCCGTGACCCTCTTCATGTCCCCAAACTGTCCCAATATTCCCTGGTGATCCCCATATGTCCCAACCATCCCCACATTCCCCCTGACTGTCCCAGTATCCCCCGATGATCCCCACGTGCCTTGCATCCCACGATTGTCTCATCTCTCCATGTCCTTGACCATCCCCACCTTCCCTGACTGTCCCCACATCCACCGCCCATCCTCATGTTCCCCTGCCTTTGTGTCCCCAAACAGTCCCAATATCTCCTGAATGTCCCTGCATCCTCTGACCACCCCTGTGTCCCCATCCCCGTGTCTCCTGACAGTCCCTGTGTCCCTGCCCCCACATTCCCTGGCTTTCTCCAATACTTGGCTGTCCCCATGTCCCTGACTGTCCTGGTGTCACCATCCCCAGTGCCCCCATGGACACCCACCTGCTCAGCAACATCCAGAAGCTCTTCTCCGAACGTATTGACATCTTCAGCCCTGTCGAGTTCAACAAGGTGAGGCCACGGGGACATCCCCATGTCCCCAAGGTCCCTAAACTGCCCACCTTCCCGGCTGTCACATGTCCCTGGTGTCGCCATGACCCAGGTGTTGGGGCTCAGGGGATCCCCAGGAGCTGATGACCAGGACAGGGCTGTTCCCACTGTCCCCTGATGCTCCCCTGTCCTGCATGTCAGGACTCGGGGGGGTCCCTGTGGCTGATGACCAGGGGGAGGGTGTCCTCGTGTCCCTATGCTGACTTGACTCAGGGCCTCCCTGTGCTCCCAGCAGCCAGGCCAAGGGTGTCCCCATCCCTCTGTGCCATGTGTCCCCTATGTCCCGCTGTCCCATGGGTCCAGGCTTGGGAGTGGCAGCCAGGACAAGGGTGTCCCTCGTGTCACCAATGTGACCGTGTGGATGGGACTTGGGGCCTCCCTGCACTTGAAGAATCCAGGCCAAAGGAGCTCCTGTTCCCCTCTGCCACATGTCCCCAGTGTCCCCGCATCCCATGTGCCCTGACTCAGGGGATCCCTGGGGACTGGTGACCAGGATGGGAGTATCCTAGGAGCTGATGGCCTGGAGAGGGGTGTCCCCAATGTCCATCCCCAATGCAGATGTGACTCGGGGCCTTCCTGCCCTGGGGGCATCCCTGTCCCCCTGCGCCACGTGTCCCTGCTGTCCCCACATCCCAGGTGTCGGTGCTGACGGGGATCATCAAGATCAGCCTAAAGACGCTGCTGGAGTGCGTGCGGCTGCGGACGTTGGGGCGCTTCGGGCTGCAGCAGGTGCAGGTGGACGGCCATTACCTGCAGCTCTACCTCTGGCGCTTTGCCGCTGACGAGCGGGGGG